AGAAGGAATTTGTCGCGCAGGAGAACTGATTTTTGTGCCTAATGGATGGTGGCATATGGTGATCAATCTCGAAGATTCTATTGCTATTGTATGTTGCCGATTAATTTTTATCATTATATATTTGGCCTTTGATTATAATTAATTAAATTTCTCTCATTAACTGATAGACACAGAACTTTGTTGGATTACATAATTTATCAAATGTAATTAAATTCCTCCGTGAGAAACCAGAGCAAATTTCAGGATTCTCATCAGATTCTTGGCCATCTTGCAAAACTATTCATGAAACTTTCTGCAAAAAACTTCAGGAAATTTACCCAGAGCTGTCAGAGAAAATTGAACTACGTGATGATTCACGTAAAGATAACAAGCCATCTGTCTGGGAACAGCTCAAGAAATTCGATGATGCAGAAAAAGGATTTACATTTAATTTTTCTAATAATGAATAAAGGGAAAGTCCTTATAATGATTACATATTTTTTATAATCATAAAGTGGATTGTGATTCTTTATAAAATTTACAAGTTTATTAACACGAAAAAAAAGCTATTTATGTATTTCTATTAAAATAGAAATAATGTAATAATATAATGTGTTCGTAGGCATTGGATTTTTGGAATCTTTAAGGTTTTGCTTACCATTGCAACTCCACTCAATGCATATAACAATACAAATGGATGCATCATGATATTTGGAGATAGTTCAATTACACCACCTGGTAAATTATCATCTATTTTTCCCACTGTAAACAAATAAGTGATTACCGCTACAATAGACAGTGTCGTTGGAATTGGTGTTCCTTCATAGTAGCTAATTTTACCGGAAGAATCTTTAGGAAAAGATGCAACAGTTACATTATAACGAGCCAACCGAGCAATACCACAAGTTATAAAAATTGAGAGTATAATAGTATCAACAAATGTGCGCATTCCAACTGCGAAACCGCACACCGCAGGAGCATCACCGAATGATATCTGCAATGTTGCATAATATGTAAAAGATGAACAAGATTCTTCTACTATTGTCCCAAGTAATAAAGTAGTACAAAAATTTTATATTACACGTCACTCTGGTTATATCAACATCTAAAAATGTCGATACAGTGAGTTATACCGATATTTATCCAAATATCAGCATAGCCAAAGTGAGATATATTTATCAAAATAACATTTCGACCCAATTTTTTTATTTTTT